TTAATCTCAAAAAACTCCAATACATTTCTCTATACTGATAGAACTTGCTCTGAGGAACTGCTATTGAAAGACAACATTCAGAAAGACTCTTTAGAGATGTTTTTGGCTTAGTTTCATCTGATCTGCAAAACCTTGTTGTATTGCAATGTCTACACGTTAGGCAGGGAACAGCATTCATTATCCAAGTCCAGAATAAAGACCAACCTATCCCTAAGAGATAGAAGAGATCAAGGGAGGCAGGCAGATAAGGAACAAGAAAAATGTTGAACACACAGATTGGTCCAGCACTATTGTTTCTTCAGTGCACAAAAATCCCACTGATGTTTGCTACATCTCACAAAAATATTTAAGAAAGGATATAAAAAATGAAAAGTGACTTTGGGAACATTTATGGAGAACATCTTCCAAATGTGTGAGGTAGTACAGTAGGAATAAAAAACATTTTTGAAATCTTAACAAGCTGCTACAGAGTACTGCATCTTAACCAACCAAGCACACACAGTAAGCTTTTGTAGCAAGATTGAAGGAACAATAAGAAACCAGTAGATCAAGGTGCAATTTGCTCTTTAGTGCTATTAAGATCTCCTTTGTTAACGGTACAAAGTTTATGAACTAGAAAATCAGATTTCAACTGTTCTATTTGAAATAACATATACATTGTGTGACTGTTTACAGTAAAAAAAGATCACCTGTCAGTGATGCTCTAAAGCAAGTCTGCAAAGCATATGACTCACTGATGGGCCAGGCCAAAAAATCTCATTTTACTGACCTCTCTTCCCTCACCAGAGCACATTATCGGCACGCTGCCAACCACTGCAAGGTCCAAAAGTGCACCCAGCACTTAAAAAGAAAAAAAGAAAAAAAGAGAGCATGCACTAGCTAGACATCACATATCGAATGCCTGAGCAGCAAAAAAAGCATCAACAGCTATAGCTACTGATTCTGCTATTCCTAATTCTGCATGGCCTGCAAAGGCTCTAGACTAAAATGAGAATATTTAGAAAAGAAAAAAGGTGGGGTTGGTGAATGGAAGCTAAGAAAATCACAGTTGGTTTGGTTTTTTTTTTAGTGTGGCTATATACAGACTAGTGATATGGAGGCATTAGGTGGCACTTGTCTGAGGACTTCAGTTAGCAGTTATGAGGTGATCAATTTTAACTGCTTAACCCCAAGAATCTGCACTCTGAAAACTTCTCTAATTGCTGTACTGTAATTGCTACATATCAAGTGATCAGTGATGGCGTCACTATTCACCCTGTTCTTTGGGGGGAGGAAGAGGAAAAGGGATCCTGCAGCAAGCAGAGCAGTAAGGGTAAGTCGCAGGCAGACCGGACTGAAATCAGTTGAGAAGATTAAAACAGAATCACAGCTTCTTACAAAAAGTAGTAACAAGATGTACAATAGAACTGAAGAAGCAAAAAAAATATGATTCTTTAGCATAGAGAGCATGGCTTGAATATAAACTGAAGACTTAGAAATCAGCTACCTCCAATAGTCAAGAACAGGAAGTGACCAAAAATTTGCTGATGAAATGAGTGAGAATGGAATCACGCAGCACGGACACTACATTTTTTTCTGCGTGCATACTCTGGTAGATCGGGTGAGGGGGGGAGGGGGTGTTAACGTAAGAGGTACAGCGCATTTTGATACTGCATTTGTTTTGATAAAACAATTATCTAAAATAAGTTGCTTGCATTAATTTGCCATTCCCATATCCACTAACAAATGAAACTCTGGTAATTAAATTCCCTCATTTGGTTGCATTCTGCAGTGGTAGGAAGTTGCTTAATCAGAACAAGTAGTGCTTTCCTCTTACTTCCCATTACCTGTGGAATTGACAAAAAAACAACATATACTTTTAAATTGCAACAAAGCTAGCTGCTTATCAAGAGGAAACTGTCAATTAAAAAAACCAAAAGCACAGTTTTTCTGACAACTGCTGCTGAATCTCAAAACCAATTCTTGCTCTACTTTACTGTCTGGACTATGATTTACATGATAGCAGGTAAACAGACTTTGCTCTGTATGCCACCGAAGAGCAGGTACAGATTTAAGTACAAAAGTCTCACCAATACATTTGTTTTATCAATAGTGTCATTTTACCAGATACCTCCTCGAGGTGAATTAAGGCCAATTCAAATCTAACAGTGGAAAAACAACTACATAGCTTGCTTGTCATGTAGGCATGTCTGTATTAACTGCATCTGAACCCTCTGTACTAGTAGTGCCCTCATGAAACTATCAGAGTTGTCGGTGCAGCTGCATTAACAACAACATAGGTGTAGCCCCTGCATGCATTTTAATTTTAGTTTAGTCTCTTTAAGCAGTTGTTTTTGAAACCGTAACACTGCTTTTGATAAACGTGAATCTGTCTTCTGAAGAGAAAATCCCATACTTTCGCACTGAGCACGAGAGTCCTTTTAACAACCTCTAAACCTAAGATAAAATACTTTGGAGGGTGGTATTTAGATGAAATAGAGCCATAATACAGCTTATTTATTGACACATTTATTCGGCTGGTTGTACCAGCCAAGTTGTACAAAGTTCTACCATAGCCAGCTCATTAAACAAGTGACTGAAGTCATTAGCACACCTGCTACGTAGGAGACAAGAAGGTATGACCATAGATTTCAGAGTACAACTTCTTGCAAAGCCTTCGCAGGCATTGTAAAAGTCAGTGATAGTCAGTTCTCAGTTCCAGGACAGAACTATTTTCTTACGCTCTGCATCTACATGGAACCAGGGACAGTGACATGAAAGCCACACTAGAGCTCCCAGTTTCACCGAAAATATAACACAAGTTTCCAAGACATCTTAGACCTGCTACAACTTCCCAAGTTCTCCAAGAAAATAGTTGTACTAATAAATTTTTCACAAGAACATGCTAGAAATATTTGATCTCCTCCACGGGCATTCTTGCAACTCTGTGGCATGATGACTAGAAAGAACCATCCTTGAATGAATAACAGTATAATGGTGAAATAAGAATCAGAAGCTCCAATTACAGCAAGCTGATATTAACAAGGGGCAAACTAAGTGTGTTACAGTCTTTCTTCCTGGACTTGCACCACTATGAAAAGTAAAAGAATCATAGTCTAATTTATCTGCAGTAACAAAAACATCTAGAAAATGCTTGCATATATAGCAAGGTAATTCAATAGCTGAGTAGCACTGAAAGAATACTTGTATTTTCCCCTCTCATTCTGAGAAACTGTTCTTTGTGTCTACCCTGTCCTGGGGTCCTCTTTTCATCAAGGTCCTCTGAGCCAATTAAAATTTTTATCTACTAAAATGGTAGAAAGTAAATCCAATGAAAAATAGTTTCCTGCCATTTTGGTGAGTTAAATCAACTTACAGAAGCGTTCAAGTGCCAGAGACAGTGCATGGGAGGAGACCCAGACAGCACGGCCATCAACAGGAAAGGGAAGAAAGAAGAAAAACTCCTTCCTTCAGCAGGAGCAACAAGCTGTTAGAAACGGCAGAATTTTTTCCATTTCTTGATCCTTTACCCAGCCGAATGAAAAGCACTTACAAATACATTAAAACACACATGCACAAAAATTCACTGTCTGCCCTCTCTCTTCACCAAAACTTCTGAACATTAAACACGCACGCTCACACAGATGTCCTTCAAGTTTCAAGAACAAAGTTGTAAAGGATGAACTGAGTCACCGTGTTCTATAACCCACAAGACCAGGCAACCATGCCACAGCAGCACATCAGAGTCTATGATTATTTTAAAAAAAAACCAAACCAAAAAACAAGATACATGGGAAGAAGTAATTCATTTGTGAAAACAGCTACATGTTTGTTTATTTCAAAGTCTCTGACATGTTTGTTTATTTCAAAGTCTCTGAAGTTCAAGTTTTTGATTTGTCAGCTTTGTAACTGACATAGTTTTGAAAGCACCAGTTTTATGTGTAGTTCTCATTAGATAATAAAACGCTTGCATGTTTGCACTCTTTGGGAAACGGTACACTCTTCCAAAACGTATTTATTTTAGAGGAAATATAATTTGTTCATTCAACAAAAGCATGCAGGTAATGACACACAAAGTCAGTGCTTGCTGTAGGCATTTTACACTGCTTATATCTCCTAACTTCAAGAAAAAAACCACATGGCTTTAGTTCACTATGTTGTGCTTTATGGAATTACTATGCTACAAGTGTTAAGAAAAACATCTCCTCAGGTCTGTGTTGTTTTAACGCAGGCGTTTAGGAGTACTGTGCTTGCAGGCTAGACTCAATTTTTTTACTCTTTTGATGGAATAAGGCCTCCATACAGAAAAGAAAAATTAAAAAAAAAAAAAATCAACAGAGAAAGACGAGATTTCATGGACACGACAACGAACTTGAAGCAAGGGCAGGCGAGCCCTTTAGAAGCCAATTTTACCTGAAGGGACCGAGATGTGGCGGGCGACACGCGCACCCTCGCGTGCATCCTGTAACGAACCGCCGGTTCCGCGCCGGGGGCCACCGCCGCCCCTCCGAGGGGGGAGCCGGCCCACCACCAGCACCATCACCACCGCGGCGCCTCAGGCCACGCCGCCGCCGGGGAGGGCTCCCGGCCCCGCTGCGATGCTGCGGGAACCGCCGAGCGCGCCCCTTCCCGGCGCCCCCCAGACAAAGAGTGCGGCGGCGGCGGGCCTCAGGCGGGGAAACGCGACCCCGGGCGCCTTCCTCCTGCTGGGGGCGAAGAGAGCGTCTTCCCCCTCCTCCTTCTCCTCCCGGCGCCGGGACGGGGACAAAGGAGGAGCGGGAGCGCCGCGGAGCCCGGCGGCGGGGGTCTGGCCGGGGCTCCTGCCCCGCCGCCCGCCCCGCGCCTCGCCGGGCACCGGCCGCCCGGCCCTGCGCTGAGGCGGGCGCCCGGGGGAGAAGGGGGACGAGAAGGAGCGCCGGCGCGGAGCCGGGCGACCGGTGGGTCCGGTGGCCGGGGCCGCCCGCCTCAAGGTGACACCCGCGGCCTCCCCCCCGCCCCGGCCACTGCCGCCTCCTCCTCACCTGGCACCTGCAGACGATGTCGGCGTCCTGCGCCAGCAGGTCCACCACCTTGCCTTTGCCCTCGTCGCCCCACTGGGCCCCCAGCACGACGGTCACCTTGTTGCCGGGGCGGCGGGCGATGCACTCGCCGTTGGGGATGGCGGGCGCCGGGGCGCCATGCTCCGCCATGGCTCGCGCTGCCCGCTCCGGCTCCGCTCCAGGCACATGCGGCAGCGCGCGGCGGTTCCGCTCCCCCCGCCTCCTCCTCCGCCTCCTCCCGGGCGGGCGGGGGTGCCGCTGCCTCCAGGTGCCGCCGCCTACCGGTCCCACCGGCGCGGCTCCTCCCGCCGAGCAGGCACCCCTCTGCCCTCCGGCGGAACCCCACTCCCCCACCGAAAACCGGAGCCGCCGCCGGCTTTTTTCCCTTCCTCGCTCTCGCGCCGCTTCCTCCGCTGCTCCCAGCCCGGACTACATTACCCAGCCGGCCGCGCGGAGCGGGTCGCGGTGCATGCTGGGGCGCGTTGGTGCCCGGGGGCCGCACCTGTGGCAGGACGGGTTACGTGTGGTTTGCCCCACGCGCCGGCGCGAGGCCGTGTGGGTTGGGGAGCCGGAAGGGGCGGCCATGGCGCCGCTGGGCTCCGCTGTGGCTGGGGAGGTGTAAAGCGGAGAAGGCGCGCTGAGGGGAGGCCGGGGGGCCTTTGTGCGTCGGGTCGGGCTCAATATATGCTCAAGCCGCTCTCATGGGTTCGGTGGGCACAGGTCCTGTGGTGTCCCTTCCCCGCAGCTGACTCTCTGGGGGGCAGCGGCCTGACCCGCTACAGGTGTCCCCGCACCGCTCCTGACCGCCGGCCGGCGCCTCAGGCCCCGGTGCGGGGCCCAGCACTGGTGTGGGTCCCTCTCTCCCACCGTGTTACATCCGTCCCAGATGTCAAACCCGCAAACTTGCGTTTGCAGTGTATCACAGCTCGGCCATGTGGGCTGTGTTGCTGTCTTAATGAGAAGAATGTAAATTAACGTCCGTCAAACGAACCCGGGGCTAAATGTAAGAGGCCATTTTCTCCAGAGACACCGGAACATGGCCCCAAGCTTATTCATGAGGCAAAAAAAAATAATGGAAAAAGCGCATTGCAGAGTAATGCCTTCATCATGCATACTTGAGGGTTTAGAAGTGGAACTGATGTCTCAGTGGCTGTTTTCGTTCTTTCCTGCTTCACAGAATCAACACCCCTGGGGGAAGATTTTTTTTTTGTGTAAAGTAGCTATTAAAAAGACATAAATCTGAATGATGTAATTATTGCTAAAACAGCTATTCAAAAACCTGAGTCACTGAGCAGCCACAATCTGCAGCTGTCTGACACGTTGTAGAGTTGAATTTTAGTTGCTTCCTCACTCCTTCAGGTTTACTCTAACCAAGAATTTGAGAATCTATAAATGCCACTGGTGACAAGTTTAACTGTGTCTTGTAAAGCTAAGAAGATATATAAGAAAATTAAATTAAAAGTTGACAGAGAACTTATTAAAAAAAAAAAACAACAAAACACCTGAAAATATCTAAATCCTGAATATCAGTGCAAAGAGATGCTATGACAAAGTAGTCAGTTGAGTACAAAGATGTTGAGTTATTGCAAATGACTTGTGTGTATATACTTCAAAGTATCTGGCAATGGTGTGTATATACTTTAAAGAGCAAGTTGTTTCTTAAACATTCAGTATAGTTTGTAGTACTAATATTTTTGTCTGCTTATGCTAAAAAACCAGCCATGTTTTCTGTATCACAGCACACAAGCACAGAGCTTGGGAAGTCACTAAAAGCCACAAGGAGCTGCTGAAGTGGGTTTCTCCAGTCTTGCTGACGGAATGGCAAACTTTGGGTTAGTGCACTCAGCTCTGGGGCTGTAGATCATCTTGTGACTCCTCAAACAATGGTCTAGATTAATGATATAGATGAATCACATTAACACCTCACCATCACCACCATAAATTTTCCCTTGAATGTAAAAATAAGTTTGAGCCTGTCGTCTTATTTTCTTAGCAATGTGGTATTAGTGTAATGTCACTTTCCAAAGGGGTCTCAGGCACATGAATCCACTGTGCTATTTTTATTTGGTGTAGATGAGTTTTGAGATTTATGTTTTGGTACGTTTTCTTGCTACATAGAGAATCAGTGAAGAAAACTATGAAGTCTTCACTTCCAGAAAACCTGTATGCATTTAATGAAGATCAACCTAATCAATGGTGATTGGTACTGCAAGGTTTAGAATTTTTATTTAATATATGGTATTGTGGGCCCATCATTCTTCTACCTCTTTTTCTTTGCAAACTAAATGGAGGCTTTCATACTAATACTCTAAAAAGATATTAAATACTCTTTATGGACACAATTCACTAACTGTATTTATAGTATAGTTCTAAAACATGGTAACTCTTAACCAAAGTACGAACCCAACTGGTGTCTAATGCCCCTTGTCAAAACCAGGCATTTGCTGTAGTATGAGTAAGAGCTTAGAAAAAAACTGCGCAGAAACTCCCAATTGCACTTATTTTGGTTCATTTATTTTAAGCAAGAAAACCAGCAAGAGCATGCAATGTTATAGTACTGGTTTTTTGCTCTAACATATATGGACTATATTAACTTTTTTTTTGCTGTTTGGGCAAGCTGAGTCTGCTCTTTGAGAGGTCAGACGGACATTCAGAGATGGTACAAAGTGGCAAGTGTTTATGTTCAAGGAATGAAGGAATGTGACTGCCTTTTCTGGCATTAGCAACCTGGTATATGGGATTGACTTGTAAAACTGAACCCATGGTAGAAGTGTACACTGATTAGGTTGCATTGTCTTCTGAATTGTTCAGTGTTATTGACTGGATATGAAGAACCGAGGCAGTTACACTGATCACAAATTCCATTCTAATTTGGGTACCTTCATGCTTTTCATGACTGCAGTTCCTGCCTCCCAGTACCTTGCAGGAGAATCAGACAGGAATTTTTAACAGATCAACACTGAAAGGAAGCAGTGTGAGGTCTGCGTTTCACTCAGATGTGTTGAAGAGATATGTGGAGTTGTTACATCTGTATGTTTTCAATTATTCTGATGAAGTATGTCACATATTCTGATTATGTATTTTTAAAAAAAATTGACACACAAAGTAATTTAGAGGAGAATTTAGATAAGAACTTCAGTAGTTCAGAAAGTCAAGGGTCAGCATGAACGAAGGGAAAATGCTGTAACAAGCAGGAAGCCCAGCTGGGCTATTAGCTAATGCTCGGCCTGGCCATAGGGTGCTAGTTTTTTTCTCCTTATTAATACTTCTTAATTGTGTTGTGATGTCAGGCCACATGGTCCATAGTACAAGTTTTATGTTAAAATTGGTTCTGCTTGTGACAATGATGTAATACTGAGATATTTTACACTGAGGTCTTATGTACACTAGAACAGTGCTTGTAGAAAAGTGGTCTGTGGGCCATGGTTAGCTAATCTACAGGTGTCCTGTAAAACTCTGTTAAACAACAAAATGTTGACATTTGTCACATTAATCTCATAAAAACATTCAATGAAAGTTAATTTTGCTTCCTCATTATTTACATCATCTTCAGAGTATTCTCCTGTTTTAATTTGATGTTAGGATCTACAGGGGCTCACAAAAAATATTGGGTATTGATAGTGCCATAGTCTAAAAAAAGTCTAAGAATCGCTGTGCCAGACACAGTTGGCATCTGTAGCACTTCAGACTCTCCAGCATGCTGTCAGCTTAGCTTAGGAGGAAGAGAAATCATTATACAGTTAGGACATACATAATTTTATTTGAACAGTGTGCTAATGTAATTGATCCCTGCTTGTTCCTTGTTATTACTCATTTTAAATTAGTTTTTCCAGTTAAAACGTCCCTTAATTATTTTTGTTACATTCGTTAATCTTTTTATCATGATAAAAATTAGATTAAGAACATTAGAAAGTAATATTTGTATACGTCACATTTGATATGTTTGCACACACTCAGAATTGTTCTTAACTCTTTGGTTTGATATATCTAGAATATGAAGCATCTTCATTTATTGAGTGCGAATTTCTTGACATATGTAGTGCAGAAGAGAAAATGTAAGAATTTGAAAAATCATAAACATCACTGTAATAGAATGATTTTGAATTCCGTGGGAGAATACTTAAGATAATATAGGATAATTCTGAAATTTCATTGGTAGTTTCTGTCTTTAGATATTTGAGGATAAAGAGTAGTATTTGCCTGCTTCTGATCGTTCTAATTGTTTCATGAGGTATGTGACAGCAGCTTCGCAAACAGACAGGTAGGGGGTTTTTTCTATGTAAATATTTTTTGATTTGTATAATAGTAACATCTTCTAACAGGCATAATATTTTTAATGACCTGTTTCAATAAAGGAAAAACCTGACAGTTTGGAATTTTTTACTTTTGTAGGTAATACATGCTGTGTGTATATATGTGTATGGATCACATTGAGAACTCTCTTGTTTCCATGCTGAATTTAAATCCATAGAAGGTGAAAAGAGGAACTTTTGTACTTAGTACAGGTCTAAAAATGAGGGATATTAACACGTGGATTCAGATGTAGCACTGAACAGAAACAGACGTTGCCCAAGGTAAATCAGTGTTTCAAGACAGAATTGCAGAAGGCAGCTTATGAGCAATAGATTACAAAGAGAAGAGACAGACTTGGGAGGACGTATGTCTAATGGGTCTGAAAGTTATTGAAGAACCTCCTGTCTGCTGTAGAACACGGGGGTATTTTGACTGCAGGCACCAGAAAGAAGTATGTGTTTCTTGAAAGGAGTCAATTGTAGAATTAAAAATGTCTTGAATGCGGTTCCGGGATTCCAAAGAATGCTCGTGAGAAGGGAGAAAAATGAGACAGAGACTTTATTCTTTTGTCTGTGTATTTATCCTGCTCACTAAAATAATGCTGTTTAAACGTTAGAACATAAGCATGTCTCCCTGCACACTCTAACGTCTCTGAAGAAGGCTATGTCAGAGTGAAGTTGCAGCTAAAAAACATCTTCTCAAACAAATAGGAATTAAAAATAATTGAACAGAAGGTGCCACTTGTGTGGAGGGAGAGAGCGTGCTCTTTAGGTGTGCTGGATAGGCCAAGAAAAAATGAGTAGTGGAGCATAAGAGCGTGTATTTTAACATAGTAGGACCAGACAGGAACCCTGCTGGTTGTCAGTCCAGGAAGCCCTACCAGAGTTATGATCCCCTTGTACTCGGAAGCACCAGGAAAAGGGAAAGAAAAAGCTTGATGGTTGTGAGTCTAACTGAAAAAGTTCTGTAGATTTCCTGAATAAAACCAGTAGTTTTTAGTTGAAGACAGCAACTTGTATTCTTCTCCTGTCATCCATGGAGTTTGCCAGTATTTGCCTCACTTTGTTTATTTAGGAGGAAAACATCTATAATGCTAGAA